CTCTTATGAAAGTTAACTCGAACATGAATTTTTAAATTAAAACATGTTTTCTTTATTTATCTATAATGACACAATTGCTTTGATGATAGAAGCTGACTGAGAACAGGACTTGAGAGTAATACACTGGCCAAACCATGCTATTAAACTTAAGCGTGCATAGTTGCTCCAAGTCTACTAAATCACTGATTAAAACCACTTTTTCATTTGTACTGAAATTTGAAAAGAATGTATATAAAGCTTTTCCAAAAATCTCTTAAAGTTACTTTCCCTTAAACATTAAGGAATTTTACCACAATTTCTGCGTCTCCCCAAATTCTTAATAGCTGGTCAGGCCATTCCATCTTCAGTTGTGAAAAATGGCCACTAACCAATAGTGACATTAAATAATACACATGATGTAACTTGAAGGAGACACTACATGTAAAAAATAAGCGCACCTGCAGACCATGATGTGGGATATAATTCAACATGAAATCAGTATTGAAGAAAGACAGTTCAGACTTTAGTGATAGTTCAGTATCTGAAAACGTTGACGCATATAAAGTAAGTTAGAAGATAAATTGCCTTTATACAAAAAAATGTATCTACCTCCTCTTATATCGATAGGAAGAATATATTTCTAGATGAATACACAATAAATTATTAATAGGAATAAAACCAAACACTATGATTTATGCACGAAATTATTTTTCCATATTCCACATTACTTTTACTAAAATTGATAAAAGTAAATATAGATTTTTTGTAACTAGGTAAATATAACTGTCCATAACTATATTATTTATATCAAGATCTGTGAAAGCTTAATCATTGAATTAAATATTGTTAGATTGGTGAGGAAATTAATTCTTAAGTTCAAGCTTAGTCAATGAAACTATAATCATCATTGTATCAAGACTGAGGATTACATTAGAATAAATCTATTAATGTAGAAGCTCATAATAAAGTTTCCTTGAAAACACTAATCAACATTTCATCATGATAATCATGACAATGACAAAATAAGTATAAATGTGGCATGAAAGACCCTTGAATAAATCTAGTTTATGTCTATAGTTTTATTTTATTTAAGGTATCTCTTTATATATAAATATTCTGTTTCATTCTTTTTTTGTTTTACAAGAAGTTGTCCAATACTAAGTTGTCCAACCCATTGTGTTTTCAAAGGGTCTTTTCCAACAACTCAAATCCTCTTATCCTCTCCAGTTTCATGATGTTGAAATGTACGTTCTTCTGGTGCCAACTTACTTTTCATGAAAGCTTAGATAAATACATTTGGGACTTACAGATTTTAAATTCCACAATTTTATCTTATATGCAGTTAAATATTTGGAAGAGGCTGGAGGAAAGGGTCTTTTCAGATTATGTTCTTCTGTATTGCTTTTATTGTATTCAAGGGTTTTTTTTACTATTTTTATAAAAGAAGTTAGAAATACATCTCATGGCATTAAATTACCATATAAATAAACTCGAACAAAATTTCTTTCAAATGAACAAAAGACCCTGTTTTCCTTTTTCTTTTTTATTTCTGTTTTTCAAGAATATAGCTAGGCTCTATTGTGAAGAAAGATGACAAGGTACTAGATCTCTGAAAATCACTTTGAGGTAAGTGAATTAGTTTCTATAATAAGTAAATCTTATTATGTTCAACCATTGAAAATAAGCATCAAAATTAGATTCCTGTAACTCAGCAAAGATCTGGAATAAAAGTAATACATGAGATAGAAATCCTCATATTTTAATTCTTGCTCAATTCATAACCTTTCAATGTGGCATTGGGAGAAGAAAACTTAATGCTTAAATTCCCATTTTGCAACTTTACATAAAAACAATGCTGCCGACAGGCTACAAAAGAACTTTGAAAGCAGTAACAGATAACAATACAATCCTTTTTATAATAAGTTTAGAAATTAAATGATGAAAATAAAGGAAAATTAAAGATTAGGGACCTACTGATGGATAACTAAAAGCCCAGCAATTATGATCATCAAGACTTTTTAAAAATCATCTAATTAATAGCAAGTAATTCATTTTCAAAAATAAAAATTTATTACACCATGAGATATAAAAAATATCTTGACACTTTTCCTGTGTATGAGCAATAATGGCTCATGTAGAACTGGAGAAAAGAATTTCTTTCTGGTCTGTTGTAGAGAGCACTGGCTTAACAAAAGTATATACTATATAATCTCAGATTCGAATTGAGCCTTTAAGCATGGGATGATTTTTGTTGTTGTTGTTTAATTTCTTTCTTTTTTAAATTATACTTTAAGTTCTGGGATACATGTGCAGAATGTGCAGGTTTGTTACATAGGTATACACGTGCCATGGTGGTTTGCTGCACTCATCAACCTGTCATCTATATTAGGTATTTCTCCTAACGCTACCCCTCCCCTAGCCTCCCACCCGCGGACAAGCCCCAGTGTGTGATGTTTCCCTCCCTGTGTCCATGTGTTCTCGTTTTTCAGCTTCCACTTATGAGTGAGAACAAGGAATGCGATGATTTTAAATAATCAGTGGTAGAAAGTATAACTTTCCAGGCTACGATATTCCAGTTAATGACATCTGCTCCAGCAATCAATACGTACTGAGTACATGCCTAGCCATAAACAAAATAACCAGAATTGACCACATACTTACTATCTTCAAGACCCTGTAAGTACTTTCGTATATTCTGAGACTAAATTCCCATATCAGCTCTATGATATAACTATCACAGTTTATCTCATTTTGCAGGCAAATAAGTTGAAAACCAAAGAGTTAAAGTGGCTTTTTCAGAAATACCAGCCTAGTCCGATTAAAGCAGAAATAGACCCAGCCTTTTTGTAAGTACACTCTTTTGTCTTAAGTAACTCTATTAATAGACATAAGGAAAATAATTGTTTTACAGGTATCATTTTTAGCTTTAGTGTACCTAGAATTGAAGATTGGAAATATGCCCACTAAAATAAATTTTAAAAAAAAGCAGAAAAATCACATGAGAAATCATAAGTTGACATATATTAGTATGTTTACTTAAATTATTTTAATTATTCCCCCATAATTTTTAATAGAATCTATCATTTTGAAGATGTGCTCTTTAACTGAATTCGAATTGAAGAAATAACGCAATGTTATTTATTTCAATTTTTACAAATATGATTAAATCTATCTCCTTAGCCATTGTCAAATGCTAATTTTTTGGGTACACAGATTAATTGTGCATCTGCTGATAAATTAGAATAGTGCTAATAAAATTATAAAATAATGTTATATTATTCAGCAAGTACAATAATATTGTTATAGATCAATAGCTATACAAACACAAATTATGACTATTCATTAAATGGAAGTGGGTAATCACAAAGGCCTTCATTCTTGCCTTGAGTGGGCTGAGGAGGAGGAAGAGGGTTGGTCTGGCTGTCTCAGGGATGGCAGAAACACAACAGGCGGAGGAGGTAGAAGGGGAGGCAGGAGACATAGGCACACTCTGTGTAAGTTTTGTTGAAAGAAATGTCTGTGGCCGGGCGCGGTGGCTCACGCCTGTAATCCCAGCATTTTGGGAGGCTGAGGTGGGGATCACGAGGTCAGGAGATCGAGACCATCCTGGCGAACACGGTGAAACCCCGTCTCTACTAAAAATACAAAAAATGAGCCGGGCGTGGTGGCGGCGCCTGTGGTCCCAGCTCCTCGGGAGGCTGAGGCGGGAGAATGGCGGGAACCCGGGGGGCGGAGCTTCCAGGGAGCCAAGATGGTGCCGCTCACTCCAGCCTGGGCCACAAAAAAAAAAAAAGAAAAAGAAAAAGAAAAAGAAATGTCTGTATAAGTGATGGCAGCTGCGGGCTGTCCGGAGCCGCCAGAGCTGTGGCAGGAGCAGCTGTGGGAGTGGCAGTGGCGGGGACACGACCCCTGTGTCCTGCATCCCCTGTGCCCCACATCCCGAGGCAGCTGACTGCACTGTCTCCACCTGCGTCTGGCCGGAATGCACCCATTCCCAGGCCCGGAGCCTCCACTGGTACAGACACTGGCCTCATATCATCGCTCTCGCCCACCACCACTGTAGGGAGGAGGCGGACAGTCCTGGGAGCCTGCCCCTGGGAGCCCCCGGGAGCCCTCTGCCCTAGGGCGGCCGCCTTGATGCGGTCGGGTCGAGCCGCCCACCGATGAGAAAGCAGTGCCGCTGGACACAGAGGAGGCAGCAGAGAGGGGTCCAGCGAGGACTTGGAGCCCCTGCCCCGGGCTGCGAGGAGATGCACTTGGGGCTACCTGCTCCACAAAGCTGGTGGGAGCCAGGGACAAGCAGGATCCCTGACCCTTCCAAGTTGGCGGGGTAGGAGCTTCCCGGGTGCGGCTGCAGACCCAGGCGTCTCTGCACTCTCGCGCATGGGAAGCCCCCCAACGTCCGGCAGGGTTGGAAATGCCTGCCTCCGCTGCCTGGCTGCTCCCTGCTGTCTCTACCTTCTTGCATCTTGGAGAAAAGTCCGGGCCAATCCTAGTCGCTGCCACAGACCACCAAGTTGTGTACACGCTTAGAGGGGCAGGGCTGACTCACCAATCCCCTGCCGCCACAGTCACCTCTGGACTTTCGGTGCTGACAAGCAGGAGACCGAGGCTAAGAGGGTGCTGAGGACAGCTCAGCACATGCCTGTAGGCCCCCCTTGGCATGAAGAGCCTGGGTGCCATGAACAGTGGCAGAAGGCAGACAGGCTCCTGGGCGGAAGGAGGCTGGTCCCCGGTGAAGCCCCACCTTCAACCCAGGGAGGGCCTGAAGACTGGGGCGAGGCTGCCAGTCCTGTGGACCAGACCGGGAACTTGTGTTCTTTTCCCCGGGCCCGCCCGTGGCTGCCCATGGACCAATCAGCATGCACTTCCTCCCCTCTGAGGGCCACAAACCCTGCCCATGGACCAATCAGCATGCACTTCCTCCCCTCTGAGGGCCACAAACCCTGCCCATGGACCAATCAGCATGCACTTCCTTCCCTCTGCGGGCCACAAACCCTCCCCCCAGCCCCCATCTCAGACTCAGTGGATAATGGAGAGGCAATGGAGAGATGAGAAAACCGGCTGCAGAGAGGAACAACCCTCTCTGCTGACAGCTGAACACTCATGGGCACACCCTGGCTTCAGAGAGGAGTTGCCCACTGTAGGTTTCCTCTGAGCTGTTCTGTTACTCAGTAAAGCTCCTCTTTGTCTTGCTCACTCTCCACTTGTCTTTATACCTCATTCTTCCTGGACGTAGGACCCACCAAACAGCAGGGCTAAAATTAGCCGGGCGAGGTGGCGGGTCCTGTGGTCCCAACTACTCGGGAGGCTGAGGCAGGAGAATAGTGCGAACCCGGGAGGCGGAGCTTGCAGTGAGCCAAGATGGCGCCGCTCACTCCAGCCTGGGCCACAGAGCGAGACTCTGTCTCGAAAAAAAACCAAGAAATGTCTGTATAAGTGATGGCAGCTGCGGGCTGTCCGGAGCCGCCAGAGCTGTGGCAGGAGCAGCTGTGAACATAAACAGGGGTGAAACACACCCCTTTCTCGCTATGTTTGGGTGACAAGGAGGAGAGAAAAAGAGCCGCGGCCCTTCAGGGAGCCCATACCTGGGAGCTCCTCGAGCCAGAGCTGTGACTCCCCTTTGAGACCCTTGAGTCACCAGGCTTCTAGGTGCCACCAAGTTCCCTGGTGCCAGCTGTGTGCCTGGTCCAGCTGCAGTCATGCAGTGAGCTGGCACCTGTGCCAGCACCTGGACCTGCCCATCCTGCTGCAGCAGCTGGCATGCCTGAGTGCACAGTTTCCGGACCCCACACTTGCTTGCTGACACACCCCTTGCCGCTATGCTCCAGTCTCTTCGGAGGTGTGGAATCCAAACTGGTAGTGTGAGCTGAATGCAGCCTGCCAAGGTGAGTGGCACAGTGGACCCAAGCAAACCTCGGGCAAAGGCGCCACCAGCCACAGAAGTTTCTGGCCAGAAAAGCAACACCCCCAAGGATCCCATAAGATAAGTGGATCTGTGCAGTTTAAACCTGTGTTCAAGGATCAACTGTATTTCAAATCGGTAATTTGGTAGGCCATCTTGTTATTTTGGTAGGCCATCTTGTTATTTTGGAATCATTTGCTTATATTTTTTAAATTATTTATTAGATCTCAGCTTTCCATTTCCATCCTTTGATTGTCTTCCTATAGGTTCTTCAATATTATTCAATCATCTGGTCTCTCGTATTGATGTCATCTGTTTATTCACTTTTCAATTTCCATATTCTAACTTTGGTGTCTTCACATGCTGTTGTGACATTTTTGCCAGTATCTGTTCCTTATCTGCGTTCTTACATGTCTCAGTAATATGTATATTTACTCATGTTCTGCCACGCAGTAATGATGAGAAAGCCAATAGATATCATGAAAAATACTTTTATTAGAAATTCTTTCAAGGTTAATTTTCTATGCACATTTATGTATGGCACTATCCAAGGCTTGCACTTAAGACTGTATTTCTTTCCGATTTCTATGGTAAGATTGAACTGATGTCATTTTATCCTGATGAAAGATAATGTGTAGTTAATTCAAGACATACAATATGTAGTTAATTCAAGACAAAACACAGTTTTCTTTGAGTTGCTCCACAGGTGTGCATTAATCGACTGCTTGTTCAATTAGTCTGTGATGTTCCTACCAAAATATTCTAGTTTTTCCTTCGTTGAGATGAAATATCACAAAGCTGTTGTAAGGATTAAATGAAATAATTTATATAAAATTTAAAATAAATTGGCATAGTTTATACTCAGTAAATGCTTCTATTTTCAAATCAATTTCTTATAAAGAGAATATCCAGTCACTGAGTCTTGTCAAATATTAATAGGAATATATTTACTAAATAGGAAACTGCCCAGGGCATAATCTTTCTCAAGGAATCATCTACTTTGAATTTAACAAGGAAAAAATTTTGTTTCAAGTACTTTCATTATTTTTCCTGAAAGTAAACTCTTTCATCTGTATTATATTCAATTAGTAGAACACATAAAATTGTAAAGATGAAAATAACACTAATTATGACAGCCATGGAGGTGTGTCACTCAGATCTGCTGCAGGAGGTGTAGTCAGCTGACAGCCTCCACCAGCTGTGTCTTCGGGTTTCACTGCAGTATCTATCCATGCTAGGGTCAGGCTTTCTTCTGACTGCTGTAAGTCAAAGAGTGAGCAGAGGAGGGAGTTAGACCTGCAGCATTTCTGTCCAATGTAGGGCACTTCTAAGAGGGAATATTTGCCATGGAGTTTGCTATGGCTTTCTCATAGCTGCATTGGAGTATGAAGTTCCTCCTACCTCATGTTGTCCCAGACCTCAATTGTATCATAAGTGTCAGAAATGGATAGGGGTCTCAAAGCTCTCCCTGCCTTCCTCTGCTCCTTGTCCTCTTTATTATTTACAGACATTTCACTCAATGAATTTTTGGCAATTCTACTTTTGTCTTGGCATCTGCTTCCGAGAGGACCAGAACCAACACATTTCTAAAATGAAATTTTTCTTTGAATACTATTAAGGAATATTTTCTCCCTTAATAGTCAATACTGGGTAAAACAGAAATAAAATTCTGTATATACAGAATATCACATAGTATTATTTAAAATTTCTAAGCCATGTAGTGAAACTATATGAAATCACCATTTTTACTATGGTAGAGGCCTCTATTGTTGTATTTTTCCTGATGAAGTATAGCCTCACATTCTCAGATATAATATGGGAAATGTGAAAAAAATTGGTTGTTAGAATCAGCAAAGAGTGGTGCAGTAATTTTAAAAGTAAATTTAATAAAGTCATGGATTTTAAAATTGATCTCTTCTTCTTTCCAACACTTTAAAAATAGTACAGAAATATAAAATATTACAATTATATTATGTTTTACAATTATATAACATAATTTTATGTAAGTTATATAAAATTGTATTATTTTACACAATTTTATATAATACAATTTTATATAACATAGATTGATTTTTAAAACAGCTCTTTGGGACCTTCAAAATTATCCGGTGTACTGCCCTCATTTAACAAAAGAAAATATCACGATTCTGACAAACCAAAGTCACCATTACTGCCAGAACTAAAATTAAAATTCCTATCTCTGGATAGAATGTTTTTATCAAAATACTATACTGCTTTTAATACTGCTTTTGATCAAAACACCAGCTTAATGGGTTACAAATGAAGTTTCCCTCCTACTTTAATCATTTCTGTATCAGATTTCCAAAAGTTAGTCTCTTTTATAGTACAAAAGGCTGGAAAGTTACATAAAGTAAATCTCCATGTATTAGATTTTCTGATAAATGGAACTGAGGAATGAGAAAGATTTGGTAGTCATTGCAGAATTTGGGGACTCAATCCTAAATGCAATAAAGGATCATTAATGGATGCAAAATGTCCTGCTTCCTTCACATGTCGTAAGAATATGCCAGTGTCAATTACTATTAAATTTGACTTCAGTGCTAAAAGGCAATTTCTTTCCAACCCTATTTAAAATCAGTGTCATGACTCCAATTAAGTTGTTGTGTATCATTAAAGCATTATTTTCTTGAACACATAATACACTTTTAAAGAAAATTATTGATACAATCATGAGATTAAGGACTTTTTACCTGATTAATATCCACACATGCCTCAACATCTCGTTTTCTCACAGTTTATGCTAATACACACTAATCTCCTTTTAGTCCTCTAGAGATCTACAAGTGTGAATTGGGTGGGGAAAGGAGATTCCTGCCTGTTCAAAATATGTTAATGCCAGAGGGATAGAAAATTATCAGGCTGTTTTGTATGTAAATATTTAAGTGCATGCAGAAAACTGCCTTGCTAAAATCTGCTTTGAATAAGAAAGATTTTCATTAAAGATGAGAAAACATGGACCATGGTCTCTAGGGATGTACAGAAGAACCTACAATGGTAATCTAAAAAGGTAAAGCCTATTAGGCAGATGGTATCATAGAAGAAAAAAAAAAAAAACAGTCACAAAACAAAACAGGGGCTTGAGCTAGGAAGAAAAAACGTCCAGATCCTCTTAGAATGATAAATAGAATGGAACGTGCCCTTGTGAAAGAAGGAGGATAGGAAATACATATTCATAGCTGGAAACTCATAAAGAGTATTTATTTGAATCATGGCAAATTCAAAGGAAGAAAAGATAATAAAGGTTAAAAGTCCTTAGAGGGAAGCATATTAGACAAGTCTTATGCCTTTGAACACTTAATTTGATATAGCACAATTAGAATATTAATTGGAAATTTTGATTAGTATTTAACTTTTATTATTAGGCCTAGTTTTAATCTAAAAATCCTCAGATCATGATTTTTAAAGATATACAGTACCCTTGGATAGAAAACACATTTTATTAAAACTTTTATCTAAGTATGTCATCATTATCTCTACTTTCCATCCATGTTTTCCAAATAAGTTGTGTAAGTTTAGCATACAAAATTTCCTAAACTCCTAATTTACTCAAAAATAAAATTGTTGATGCAATGTTACTAGTTTTTCAAAATGAAAATTACTTTATTACTGGTTTTCTTTCAGTTTTAAAACAACCTACTCATCAATTATCAAGCACTTAAATATACACACAGTAAAGTAAAAATAATCATAAGACCCATTATCCAGACATAAACATTGATAGCATTTTGGGAAAACCATGCAGAAATTACTCTATGTTATATATATAAACTGTTACATATGTTATATATGTATGTTATATGTGTTGAATGTATGTTATATATGAAGTTGATATATATATGCAGTAGAAAAAATTTATAAATGTTTTGTGGCCTATTACAATATTACGTGACAACTTTCTTTTCCATAAATATTTGCTTCTTTTATATGAAGCATTACCATATAGTGAGCACATACTACGTGCCAGACACAGTAAACACAGATGTAAGCAACATACAATTGATGGTAAATGTTAGTAGCTATGATTCTATCACCTAATCTGTATGTGGATCATGTACGTTAGTAATGATCATCTCCATTTTATGTATAAGGACACCTATCTTAGTTTCAGAAACCCTTTTCAGGTCATACAGTTATGATTTTTCTTTGTCTGATGTTGTCAGATGTTTCTAATATCTACAAAGTACAGGTATTTATTCTAAAATTATTTAGTTCATTCT